AATTAATCATTTTAGAATTGATTTAAATTTTCTCCATTTGCTTATTATATTATTAAATTATTTTTTTAATCGATAATTTTAGAATTATTATACTCTAAGTTTAATCTTTAACACATAACTTTTAGCATAGCTTCTGTTAAATCAGTAGCTGTATATTAAGCATCTTTTTTTTTCCTTTCTATCGCGTGGTTTATAAAATAGCCTCCTCCAGCTCCTACTTCTAATATTGAGTTTCTTTTTTCTATTTCTACCATATTTAGTAGTGTTAAATAAAATATATTACTATTTTAATCAAACTAGGTATAATAAGAAGCATAGTTTTCCCATAAATTTTTTATTTAGTCAATAGATTTGGCTTCAGTCATAGTTTATTTTTTTAATTTAGAATTTTTTTTTAATTATTTAATTATTTAAAAAAATATATAGAATTATAAAAATTTAATAAAAATTTATTTTATATATTTTTAACATACATTAAAATATAGATTTTTGTATCTATATATTTTTATATTTAATTTTTTATATAATTGACATATAAATTTATTTATATTTTATAATTATAAAAAAAAAAATATAATAATATATTAATATTAATAAAGTATAAAATTAAAATATTATTTTTGTAATCAAATTATTTAATTTTTAATTTTTTTTATATATAAATATTTAAATCTTAATTATGATTTTTTTTTATAATTTATACAATAATTTGTTTTTTTATAATTCTTATTTTCTAATTATAATTAATCAATTTTTACTTCAATAAATGAAAATAAGAACATATTTATACAAATTATAATCTTATTTAATTCTATTTTAAGATTTAATTTTTGTTTATAATTTTATAAAGCTTATATATATTTTTTAAATATAATATATAATTGAACAAATAATTAATAAAAACATGACTCAAATGATTTATCATTAATTATAGAGAAAAATGACTTAAACTAATAAACAATGGCTATATAACATTTATAAATATTTTTAACATCTGTATAATTCACATTTCTAATTTATAAATTAATCGAATATAATTATTTTATTTATTAATTATTAATCACATAATACATATACAAAAGCAAAATAAAAAAAATAAAAATTTGTTTATGCCTATACTTTTTTATAGATTAAATATTTTTGTGCATGTAAAGATTAATAAAATATTTGGACTTAATATTAAATTTTGTTAAATCAATTGTTTAAAAATTTTTATATTCAAAATAATTTAATTTAAAAAATATTTGATTCTTCAATTAAATAAAATCGAAGAAACAAACCAAAAATAAAAAATATTTTGGATTTTTTTTCAAAATAAAAGAAAATAAATTTAATTCTCAAACAATAAAATAAAATATTATAAATATAAAGATGCATATATACATATTGGCTAATATAAATAAAAATCTTTTAGTTAATCATATATATGATAATTTACAAAAATTCATTTAACTCACAAATGACTTAATTAATTTTTTTTAGTAGTTTAAAAGATATATAATGGTAAAAACATAAATACATGTGTAAACGCTTGAATATTTTTATAATTTTTTTAAAAAAACAGAATATTATCATTTTTAAAATAATTTTGATAAAAAAACAAAAAATTAAAAGAATAACAATAAATAAAAATATAATTAATAAAAAATAGATTATAATTATATAAACAATATTAATATTTAAAAAAAAAAATTTGTCAAGTTGAAATCGAAAAAATGTATTAAAAACTAATAATTGGAAAAAATATTAAAAAATATAATTATAAAAAAAATATAAAAAAATTTTAAAAAGTTTTAAATAAACAATTGAAAAAAATTGAAAAAAAGAATATAAAAATAATATATGTATAAAAATTAGAAAAAAATTATATAATAAAAATAAAATTATATAAAAAAAATAAAATATTATATGAATATTTTAAAAAAAAAAAATATAAAAATATATATATATATATATATATATATATATATATATATTTATATATATATTTAATTTTTGACATTCATTTTTTAGTTGCTATTATTATTAACACATCAAAACCTAACGGTCTTTTTTAATCATATATAATATTATTATATTTATTTTTCATAGATTCTATAACTATATCTTATTTATCACCAATAATTTCTTTATAATTTTTATAATTATGGAAATCCTATATATTTTCAACTTTAGGAAATGGAATATTTTAATTCCAACATAATATATTTTCATATCCTTCATTTTAAAATATTTATATAAGTTTTTCTCTATTATTTAGATGAAAATTAGATCTTTCATTTTTATTTTATTATATTCCCAATTCATTTAAAACATCAGGAATAAATGTACAAATATCTGTCTTTTTTTCATCACCCCAAACAGAAAAACCTACAATTCCTCCTTTTTTAACTACTCTATGTGCTTCTTTTAACATTTTAGTATGAT